TTGTGTCACTTTTTCATTTGGGCTTCAGCCAAGGTAGAACACAAGCTGCTCTACAGGCTTCAGAAGCTGGTCAAAATTACAGTTAAATATTTCCATGTGCTTCTAATATGTCTAAATTTCTAGTTGTATGCTATATTTAATCCTACAGTTACATGATCACGTCAGCAAAAGGATAAGCCTTGCCCCTTCTCCCAGAGGTACCTGGTTGCCGACTCTGTCAATGAGGGCAATAGCTGCAGTTGGAAAGGGTGCTGCTGCCATGTGAAGTTGGAAGGGGTGTTGCTAGTATGTAAAGCTCCAATTCATTTATATGCCAAAGCTGGAATGTAGCTTGGCTTGGCCTTCCTTGCTTTTAGCCAACAGGTAGCTTATAAATATTGGCAGAAGAAAAATTAATCTGAAAGGCTGTCTTTCATTGATAAAGCCTCATTAATGAAAACAGGTTGCTCAGGAGTGGCAAAGCTAAGCTTTACGCTCATTTAAACTCTCCATCTTTAGGCTTCTTGTCCTCTCTCCTCTTCTGAACTCTAGATTTGTTTAATGTGGAGCTTTTCCAGCTTTCTGGCTCAGGGAGTCTGCTGTACATGTTTCTCTTACTGCATATGGAAATTTTTGGCTGCCCTTTTGAATAGCTCTTAGCTTCTCCCCCACTCCCAGTTCAAGTGCACCTGTCTTTCAAAATGCTTTTTTCTTTTTTTTTTCTTTTTTTTCTTTTTTAAATCTGGATTTAGTGGTTCTTTAGTACAAATTTTAAAATTTTAACATACAGATTTTGCAAATGTGAAGAGCCCTGCTGTGCACTGGATTTCATTCATCTTTGGCAGAGTTTTATGTAGAGACTGATTTGCTTCTCTAATTTTAGAGCATTAGTCCATTGCTTTCCTCACCTTTATCCTCACAATTGGTGGATGACATCAAATCTTCAATAAATAAATACAACTTCAGAAATGATTTAATATTATTGCCACTTGCTCTTCGTTCTGTCCTTCAGGCAGACAACCATCAATTATTAAAAAAAATCCTGGTTGGAAACATAATAGTGTGCTTGAATAGCTACACCTTCTGAACTGTGATGTATTCTTTTTCTCGCATTCTGGTACATCATGAAAAATTGTAAAGACCTTGTGAGGGATATTTAACAATAGATATTCCCTTGTTCTTTTATGCATGATAGCAATTAATCTTTAAAAAAACCCTCACAAAACAACACTTTTTATTTTAATGAGGAGAACCCACTGTGTAACAGGGTAACTTACTGATGCCTGTAATTAAATAAATACAGCTGGCAATACTATGAAAATAACATAAATTACAATATTCTTAAGAATATTTTCTTGAAAGCACTTGAAGGTGCTTATTCCTATTGTACTGGACATTAAAGATTCACTTAAGACTTGGGCTGTTCTGCTACTTCCCATGGGTCTATGTGATCTTAAGTTATGATTTATGGATTATTGCCTCCTTCCTCCATCCTACCAAGAGCCCTGACCTTTGTGAGCTTTTGAATGTTGGCCACAGTTTTGCTCTGCTATTCTGTACGGAGCTGACACTTGCAAGCTGAAGCTGAAAATTATTCTTGCAAACCAGTGCTTCCTATGGTTTACACTTTGGAAATAAGACAGCTCTAAATTACAAATAAGGGCAGGTTTTCAGTTTTAAACAGATATAGTATAATCCTTTAACAAAACCTTGACCTCTTGACTTGATCTGTTTGTATTTTGGTATGTATTTGTTCTTTTGATGCTCCTGTCTCGAGAATTGTGCAGAAAAGAACATGGTAATAACAAAGGAGTGAGTACTGTGCTTGGAGAAGACCAAGTAAGGGAACTGTTGGGCTCCGAAAGCCTCTTATGTAAGCAACGAAATCTGTATAGTGTCATTTTCTGTTTGGTTTTGAACAATTATGGAAATCGCTGACAATTGCCAAAAAGCACTACCAGTTTCCAGACTCCTGTTGTATTTCAGGGAGCATTCTCTGTAATGTTTAGCTTTTTTTCCTTTTTTTTTTTTTTTTTTTTAAACATGTCTACTTGGTACTGGCAGATTTCAGCCCTTTTTGTAGCTTCTGGCTGGATATCTTAGTCAGAAATGGCCCTCTGGCAGTTGTACAGTAGCTGGAAGCATCGCCTCAACTTACTGATGCTGTTTGATGTATTGCCTTTGCTGTTTCTGAATGACTGAAGATGCAAAACATCAACCCCAGACTCTTGTGTAGAGTTTAATAGCACTGCCAGTCCTTTGTAATGCTAAGTTTTTATTCATTTCCATATGGAGGCTTTTCTACCACCTTCGTTCCTATTTGTCCTTCCAGGATTTTATTCTAACCTGGAATGCCTTTTTAAAGATCACTTTTATCTCTTGGTGGGGCGGGGAGGGTCACCAAATCCAGTTTGTGTTTTTTCTTTGCCATCATTATGGAGTTATCTGTGCTGATGACGTGGTTACTCAGATGAAGATAGTGTGTTGCATTGAAATTTATCATAATCTAAGACAATGTTTTTCAAGAGGATTTCAAACTGATGGAAATGTAGGGTTTAAAACTTAAACCCAGAGAATATTTACTAGAGACCTTTTGATGCAGTTGTCTAGTTTAATCTTTTAAAATTATTTTTAGGCTTTGTGTGAAAGTTATAATACTTGTAACAGCTTAGTGAATGCAGAATCAGATTCAAAACCAAAAGCTTTTGACAGCTTGTTTTATTCAAATTGCTGGTACTCCTTTTAATAACATGATTTACAGTACTCTTTCATATCACATATGCTATTGTGTAGCTCCAGCAGTAGTGCAGCTAACAGCTGTTTTAAAATAATGCAGTTACACCCCTTCATCCCTGCCACAAAGGCTAGGTAAGAAGACTTTCTTGCAGAAATGGTTGCTTAGTAGCCAGGAGAGCTGGAGAAGTAGGATTGAATTGTGGCCTTTGACTTCAGGGATGCATTTCATGACAGGGGAGTTCATCATCTTTGTGCATCAGTATTTAGTGGAAACTGGGAACCTGTAGAAATGGGATCGCCTTCTGAGCAGTCTTCCCTGAGCTACTGTTGTCTCTTCTGCTGTGAGTGGCATTTCAATATTATGGTGGAAGGTAGGAAAAAAAGGCTGTAGTATAGGAGAGAGAACCACTAAGATTTGGAAAGAAGCTAGCCTATGCCATATGCTACTGCTTTAGCCTTTTGTGTCTAGTAAACCACATTGAGATAGGTAGGTGCTGGTCTCGCTGTTTAGTGTATGCCTCTGTGGGAATATAAAGTCTTCCTTGTTCAGCATTGCTTGAAACGTGGACAGTCCAGCAGAGCAAGATCATAACCCGGTCTCCTGTGTTACCTCAAGCAGCAGTGTGAAAACAGCGTGAAAGTCCTTCTTAACCTCAAGAAACAATGACGGTGGTCTTAGTGCAGTTTGTAACTGCTAGTAATTAGGGCACTTCTAGTGCAATAGCTTTTTCCTCTCCCTGCAGCCATGGATTATTTGCTGTGGTATTTCTACTGAGCATAGAGCTCGCCTCCTTTAGTGCTGGAGTACAAGGCTGGAGAATCCTTGTCAAATGAGTTTGTAATTGAAACAGTTTCTGAGGTTATTTTATTTTTGAGCGTTTGCTCTTGTAGGTGTTGTTTGCAGCTACTGCATGGTTGCTCTTCAAACAGGACTGTGCTGGCAAGGGACAGTTTCTGCGTGTGCTCTAGAGACTCTTGGTCTTGTTTTCTTGCCCAAATGATTCTTTAGAGATGCACCTATAGTGCAAACTTCCCATGTAATTGTCTGTCAGTGTACAACTGTTTGTTTCACTGTTTTCATGAATGTGGTCAAACAGTGGGCAGGGGGAATGCTATTGAATGAGTGTGTATCAGAAATTTTACTAGGGCTTTAAGTCCACCTTTCCCTCTTCTAAAATCTGTTGACTTGTCTTTCAGTCCTCTTCCTGAAAACAAGCCGTGAATTTGAGGAGAGGGATGAAACAATCTGAGTTTTATCAGCCGTGTGGCACTCTTAACTCTGCATGCTGATGAGAAGTCGTGCTGCCCAGGGAACACAGCAATATGACGGGTTTTGCTGCATAATCTGTCTGGCCAGCTGTATTGTAATCTTTTCGTTTGGGGGGGGCGTGATGGGGGAAGAGACTAGCTTTAAGGCAACACTTTTCAATAGATACCTTTGAAAACAGGATTGAAGGACAACTTAGTATGTCTGTCCTCTTAACACAGCTCTGAAGCCGGTAAGTATTGAAGGATTTCATGCCATAATAAGGATATTTTGGCCTGATCTGAATGTCAGCATGGCATCTCGTTTCAGAAGGCAAAAATGGTGTGGTCTGTTGAAGCACCTTTGCTGTCTGTTTCCTAACTAACGACAGTCTTTTGGCCTGTGTGTGCATATACCACTGAAATTCCCTTTACCTTAGAAGGTTGTGAGATTCCTGCAGCTGTGGTGATCCAGCTACTTCAGGAAAGTAGGTCATTTGTATCTTGGGGAATTCCCTGCCTAGGATGTCCAAAATGGATGGAAGAAAAGGCCAAAGCAGATGGCTCACAATTGCTAGCTGCATAGGGCAGAAGGTTAGGGTTTTGCCCTTCCTTCCCCCCGACCCTGGTAGATAGGTCATATAAAGCAAGAAAACTCTTCAGAGAAAAGACATCTGGCCATGAACACTTAACACTTGCCAATTAAAAGGTCCATACAACTGAAAAAACCTTGAAAACCCATCAGTCTGCTCTGTGGCTTGGAGGTACCTCCTAGATGCTGTGTGTTGCAGCCTGTGGCTTCCCAAGTACAGCTGCCACGGTTGGATCCCCTGGAGTGGCGAGGATAAGCACTTGGTGCCGTGAAGCTGTGCCTCCCGTTGAATACTCTGTTGAGTGGGGGTGCACTGCTCTCAAACTATCAACCTCCATCCATGAGTGCTCCGTGTTGTGCTTTTTCTATGAAAGTTGTGTTATTGTAGATGCTAATGTCTTATCTAACTCTTGTGTTTTCTGCACCTCATTGCTTTGTTCTTTATAAGATCTTTTGTTTTCTGCTGCTCTGTCACTGCGTTTCTGCTGCCCCTCCCTCTAGCTGGGTTTGTCAAGTCGCCCATGTCAGAAACTAAACTCACGGGGGACGCCTTTGAACTGTACTGTGATGTGGTTGGGAACCCCACTCCAGAGATCCAGTGGTGGTATGCTGAAGTCAACCGGGCTGAGTCTTTCAAACAGCTGTGGGATGGCGCTCGGAAGCGCCGTGTCACCATTAACACTGCCTACGGGGCGAATGGGGTGAGTGTGCTGAGAATAACCCGCCTTACCTTGGAAGACTCTGGGACTTACGAGTGCAGGGCCAGCAACGATCCCAGGAGGAATGACTTGAGGCAAAATCCCTCCATAACGTGGATTCGAGCCCAGGCTACTATAAGCGTCCTTCAGAGTGAGTCTGGCACCCTACAGTAGTGGTACTGTAGTATCTAGAGACAGTCTAGTGACCCTTACCCCCTCCCGTTACCCCGATAAAGCCCTCTGCTACCTTTTCCTATTGTTTTGAACCCAAGACTGCTCCTCTGCCTGTAGTGCTGACATTGTCTGCCATCTGTGTTTCTTCTCCTTAGGATCAAAAGACTTGGGAAAATCTGTGGATCTGTTTTATACCTTCTGTGTGAAAACAAGCCCAGTGTTGAATTTGTGTTTCTTCCCTACCTCCTTTTAGTTTTGTAGTAGGTTTCCAGCCACCCTAATGCTGGCTTCTCCATGAGTGCCTTTATATTTGATTTCTGTGTTCTTCCCTGGTCTAACCATTTTATTTTTATTTCTTCTGGTCTCTTGGAAGTTCCCTGAATGCCTTTTCACATGGTTTTGGTTGCATGTATGCTTCTGTACAAATCCTTCCCTTTCAGTTACATACGACCTTTAATGTTTAGATTTTTCTATGAAGTCGTGGTGTTTCTTTTCCTTTCTTGAACAGCAGTGTGTTCCTAATGAGTTCTCTGATGCAGCAGCACTGAACTGATGCAGCTATTCTTAATCCAGCCTATGAAAGGGCGGGGGGGAATATCCTCCCCCAGTGTTGAACTAATAACTTTAGCTAAATGACTTTCATCTGAGAATGCAACTTTTGGCAGCAGCAAAGCTTTCAAAAGCAGAGAATATGGTTGACCCAGAATTGCTTTTTGTTCTCTGTTGTTACAAGACTTTCCTGCGTTCAGCTCGCTTTTAAAGCAGTCCCAGACAAGTTTGGAAATTTGTATCATCAGAGTCAGTAGAGAAGAACCCTGTTTCATTTTGTTAAGATGCAAAACTCTTGCGTTTGCTAACAAGGTGAAGCAAATGTCTAACAAGTTATAGGTAGAGTGAATTAAATCTGCAACATGAGCCTGCTGCATGGAGGTACAGGAGAACTTGCTTTCTTGGTGATTTCTCAATGTCCTAAGGTGGCAAAGAGTAGAGCATAGGTGTTGTCTTGCTGTTGTGCTCTGTGCATAAATAAACCTTTTATGTACCACTTTGAGTTTTGTCTGGGTACAAAAATGTCCAACTCTGTAATTATGTCTCAGTTATGTTTTTGGATACTTGAAAAAAAAAAAAAACCCAAAACCTCCTTAAAGTGTGCTGCTGCAGTCAGCACTGCTGGATCAGAGACCTTCCCTCTGGAAAATGGAAACAGCATTGATACACATGGAAAAATAGACAGTGAACCCCATGATGTGGATTGACTTGAAAATTTGAGTGGCATTGGGCTGTTCAGCTCAAACCTGCTCAACTTTCAGTCCTAATGCCTGATCCCTCCTTTGTCCTTTGAGGTCCCAAAGGACTCAGATTGGTAGATTGCTTGCATGACCTACAACAGCAAGAACCATGTAATTTTAGGAAATACTACCTTAAGACAGAGCTAAAATGTTTGTCTTGTAGGAAGTAATGTCTCTGGGAAATCCCCACTGCCCCTATTAAGACCTTTAGTTTTTCTCGAGTGTGGCAAGTCTGTGGTGGTCCTGTGCTCCTCTCTTTGTGTCTAGTCAGTTTTAGTAACCTACTGAGGGACAAAATCCTTTTCATATGAAAAGTCACCATTTGGGAATGAATTACTGTGAAGATGTCTCCATATGGAAAATGTTTTTTTCCTGATACTAACCTGCTCCGGGTATTAAAGTTTAACGTTTCGTCTTCCTCCCCAGTTAACATCGTCTTGTTGCATCTGATGCTACTAATACCGCAGTGTGTATCGTGACTTCATTGCTAAGTGCCTTGTGCCTGGGATAATTCTTCTGCTTTTGCATTTTATTCATAGTGGGGTGGAGGGGGGGGGGCGGCGGGCTGTCGAACAGAATACTTTAATGCTTTTACTCTGTGATCCTGTGTATGTTAAGCAATCTGACCGCCTGCTGCTTGGGAAACAGACTGCTTGGACATCAAACTGCTGCGTGGCTAGGCTGGAAATGGAGATAAGGGGTGAAGCAGGTTTCCAAGCCGTCCCTGGAAGATGGGGACCATCTTATCTGAAGCTGCCCAAAATGTCTTAGATGCCGCATTGTGTGCGTGAACACAGTTTGTCTTTGAAACGAGAGTTTTCTGACTGAACAGTGTTGGAGTTTCCAGCTGATGGTGGCTGTTTTGCTGCTGGCCTTATTTGACATCAGCATCACTGAAAGAGAACCATCAAATGTATCAGAAGAGCACAACCTCTTTTCACGGTCCTTTAGATCACAGCTTGTCTCAAATACCAAAACTTGAATGCAAAGAGGTCAAGTGTGACTTGAGTTTTAAAAGTTAGCACCCAAGAACTAACATCTAGCTTCTATCTCATTTCTAGTTTGGATAAAGAACTTCAATTATAGATGTATTTTTTTTATTTAAAAATCTGATCCTACATAAAAAGGGCAGTTTAAGTGATGTGAAAAAGAGACTCTTCAGCATCGTGCTCTTTCAAGTAGAAATCCTTCTTTGGATTTTTAATTTTTTTTTTTTTTTTTAAATCCTAAAACTTCACAAATTTGCAAGTCAGACACAAAAGGCCCCAGCAAACTTCAGCAAAGCAAGCTTGAGACAGCTGTAAATGTTTTCTGGACATGGCATCTTAGCAGAGCCGTGGGTAGGAATAGGTGTGAATTAGCAGTAGTTGTCACTGAAGCTCCAGGCAGGTTTTTTTTGTATGTTCTGGTTCATCAGTGTTAGAGGCTGAAGAGTCAATTATCAACAGAATACGAAAGCCAGAAGATTACCACTGTCAAAACCCTTCTGGATTAAGTCTTTAACTTTCTGGTTTCTGTAGGGACTAGATTCAAATTTTTTTGTGACTTTTCCCTGTTGCTAGCATTTGTGTAATGCTTTCTGATGGCAGCATGTATGCTTTCCATTTCCAGGATTGCTGCCGGCTGATCACTGCTTTAGGTTGCATCTCAGCACAGCAGAGACAGCATCAGCATCTGTTACAACAGCACTCGCTAGATGCATTGCAGTCCCTGTTACAGCGGCCTGAAGCCTGTCCTGCCAGCATCCTCCTCCTAAAAGGAAAACATTGCATTTATTTCTCAGGCTACAGTCTTGAAGACACTGCTTTCATCATCAAAGAAAAACATTTAAAACCAAAACCAGTATGATCAGTGAATTCTAGCAAAACTTTATTTCTTCATATAGATGTTCTGACGCTGCGTTACTATTTCAAACGCATTGCTAAGAATGTTTCCAGAGCTCTGTTAGTATTTTTCTGAGTATGCACACAAGATTTTTGTGGGAGATGGAAAAGCATACTGGGCAGTCCAGTAATGAAATGATATGGCTTTAACAAAACAATTTTATGCCCCATAGGACCCAAACAGATCCTTGCCTGGTTACAATTCCCAGTATGGGAACAATGAGGCAGAAACATAGTTGAAAATGTGTGATAATAGCAAAGTGTCTAAGAGAAGTGTCAGAAAACCGTGCATTACTACAGTACCTGCCAGTTTTTCTGCAATTAAATGATAGTCCTAGTTTTAAATAGCTGTGAATCCTGCTGAAGAAAGCGGGAAAGGATATACAGATGTCAAATGGCTTTGTCAGGTTATTAGCAGGTAGATATCTTTTCTCCCTGCCTCTCTGGGCAATAATCTAAGTACTGTACTATTGGATAGATGAATGTTTTATGTGATGAAAAATGCAGCGTTTCTGACAGTACTGGTGTTTTCCACTTGTTCTGTTTCATAATTTGTTTTCCAAGTGCTTTGCAGATGAATATCCAAAAGACTGCATGGGTATGACTCAATTTGTATTCCAAATATGTTACCACAAGGCATAACAAAATGTACAGGATTAAAAATCCTTTGCTGACTTGCAAAAATCATGAGGACGTTTATTACTGACTGACATCCTCACCCTCCTGCACTTTGCTGCCAACCAGAATGCAGAGGAGGCAGCCATTGCATTCAGAGAAGTTGGCACTGCGGGAGCGTGGTCAGTGAAACGAGTAGCTGGCAACAGCTATCTCTTTGGAATTCATTTCAGCCTTTAAAGTAAGGAAATACATCAAAGACAGAGGACACAGTAGCATCTACATGGTAAAGACTGCTACAGCAGTGGCCTTTAGTTCAAGCTGAAACTACAGCCCATACTAAATCTAGATGTTTTTGGAAGACTAATAGTGAGAATTTTTAAATTTCTTTTAAGCAATGTCATCCTGTGTTCAGGGTCTTTTTTTTTTTCTTTTTTTACAGAATATTTGAAACCAGCTGTGAACCATGAGACCTTCAACGGAAAGGTCTTTTTTCCAAGTTTAGGAAGAAACTTGTCTCTGACTATTCTAAAAATTCATCAGCCTTATTTGTTAGAGAGTTAACAGCCATCTGCATGATCTTAAGAAAATGTGGTTATCAAATGTAAGGACAGTGTCCTCATACTAATCTTACAATTTATGAAAAGCTTTCCCCTAAAAAATGTGAATTTGATGTTACCAGGTAAGATTGTAATGTGAAACAGCCTGGGTTCTGTTCCTAATGCATCCAGCAAAGTATATAACTCCTGTGGTCTGTTTATGCAATGAGGCTCACTCCCCACTCCCTCCCCCCAAGTTTATGTTTAAGGTTTCTTTACAAAATGAAATAGTTCCCGACTCTAATTTTAAACATGGTGTGTATTCTTACTTTTTATTGTTAAGCATTAAGGGCTGCTTTCAGCCATTCTTCATCAGACTTGTGCTTTCTTCACACTGGGTGCTTGCTTGAATTTCAGACATCAGAAAAGTTGTGCTATTTGAAATATCTTGTGTGCACAGGATATTTTCATTAGGTAGACATTAGTATTTTGTAGGGGGAAGTCCAGAAATATTATTCAGAAGACTGTCTAACTTTGAGGGCTATTCTATATAGAAAATGGGTTTGTTTTAAACCTCAGAATAAGTAGAGGAACCAAGTAGTAGCCAGAAAGAAGTTTTTTCTGACAGACCAGCTGATCTCTTATGTAACAGGACAAGCGTTTTCCCATGTTATGGTCAGCAGTGTGTGAAAAATGATTAATGTTGTTACATACAAATCTGGAGTGATGTTAAATGTGAAAATAAATAATGTAAAATAAATCTCTTTTTTCCATATAGGGATGCTGATCCATAAGGTGTTGCCTTTACTCTAGTAGTCAGCTGTTTTATTGTGACTTTCTTGATGTCTCCCAAATTAGTGCAGTGACATTCCTTGTGTAGTCTTTTTCCCTTCCCAACTCCCCTTTGAATTTTAGACTAGCATGGCACAATTGCCAGTGAAGATTTGTTGCTATTTAATATGTCCTTTGTTTCAGAGCCCAGGATCAACGCTAGTGAGGATGTAGTCATTCATCTGTATGGTCCGGCTGTCACATTGCAGTGTAACCTCACCACAAGTCCCAGCCCCCTTTCTTTCAGTTACTGGGTCAAGAATGGAGAGGAGATCCCTGGCACTAGAAAATCTTCAAACACTACAGAATACAAGTAAGTCTCTCTGGGATAATCTTCATGTTACACTGGAGAATGACAAACCTGGTAGACATATGGCTTTGGGATAGGTGATGGGATGTTGGGACTCCAAGGCCCCTGGTTCCCTGGTTCAGCTTGACAGTGGTCAGACAAGAGGCTCCACAAAAAGTACATCTGTGAATAGCATTAGAAGAACAATTCTGGAAAAATTGTTGGCTACAGCTGTCCCAACTTCTCTGAATAGCATTAGAAGAACAATTCTGGAAAAATTGTTGGCTACAGCTGTCCCAACTAGCTCATGTAAACATAATGTTGTCAAAAACGTATTGTAAACCTCTCTTTTCAATTTAAACTCATATAGTTCTTCTTTAGAGTATACATGATGTGTAAACCTAGGCACAGACACGCAGTCTAGTTTTCTTTTCCTCTGAGTATATTGTGCAGTCTCTGTCTTGCTTATTTCTACATAAAGATGAATCTGCAGCTGTGCATTTTTATCATGCAGAGAAACGCAACACATAAATCACTGCTGAAATTGGCTGGTTTAGTAATTTTCTGGCTTTGGGAGATGAAAGACAGCGTTGTCCGCGTTGTTACTGATGAGTTGTTAGACCACTACTACAAAATGATACCAAATCTTGATTAAACCAGTACAACTGTATCACTTGTGCTTCTTATTTGTCAGTACATCCACATTTTCAGCATTCATCTATTCCATGTGTGCATGCTCTGGCTTTGTCTCTGCCTTCCATCTAAGGGTGTGAAGGAGAACAGAATGCATACAGCCACCTCTTTTGTTTCACTGTAGCTTGCGTCGAGCAGAAATCCTTTGACAGTTTCTGTATTCCTGAAATGGGGCTTTCTTGCTGTGGAGTCGATTGGAGCATATGAAGCTTGCTCAGTGATGCCATCAGGGATCTGTTCTGTATGTGTGATTTTCTTGCCTCCACCCCCCACTCCCCTTCCGTCTTCTTCACTTGATGCCGGCATGGATAGCAAATACAATTTCTGTTCAGTGTTAAGCTAAGATGAAGATTACTTAAGGCATGTTTTAACCACTGGTGGTAACTTACTCTTTGGAGACATTAGACCACTTCTGACCCTCTTACTCAGCTGTTATGTCAGAAGGAGGCACTTATGTCTGTGTAAGGCCTGCTATATTATAGTACATCTGGTTTACTGTGCCTTGTCGCCGCACTAAAGTGAGGAAACATGCCTACACACTCACTGGCTTTTTTCTGTCTCTAGCACTGTGGGCTCTTCACCACACTAATGTTGCTTACTGGCACAGGATTAAGAAATACTCAAGGTTTTCATTGCCTTAGCAAAGCAGCATTTCATCCACAGGATTATGGAAGTTGTGTTTGATTCTGATAAAGATGTGTTCAAGTTTTTTTCCTTTTGTTTTCCACTTTAGCTCACTTCACATTATCTGTTCAGCTTTGCAGTTAAAAAAAAAAGTGTCATTTAGTTCTGTAATTACATCCTGTTATTTTCTCAGTACAATGTTTAACACTGGGTCTGAGTTTTAAAGGCTCTGCTTCCTTATCTAGCAATTAACTTGATGAGCAGTCTTGTCCAAAAGCACCAGCTTGAGTGGTACAAAAGGTATGTTGCATCAAGATTACTGAAAATCGCACATTATTATTCAGGAAACTAAGTGTCGAGGCTGACTTCTCTATAATCTGTTCCAAGCTAGGGTGGATTTTTGCTTTCAGATTCCTCAGTAAAGGACAAATTAAACTTGCTTTCGATTTTAACGTCCTGGAGAAGGAAGAAGTAAGGTGGGCAGACTGTAAGACAGTCACTTTGTTCCTGTTGAATAAAGTGTTGGTAGAGCATGCTGCAGTCATAGGACAGCTTGAGAATTTGCGAAAACTTGCAATATAGACCTCAAATTCCTGCTCACTTATAAGCTGCTTTGCTGTATGTTGTGGTTTGAGGCTTTCTGTTGCATTTCTTCGTTGCATGTGGTCACACTGCATTTGATCTGTTTGTTAACTTCTAGCTTGATTTGGTTACTTATTTTTTGTAGATCCAGAAATGCCATATTCATGCAAGCAATGTCAACATAGTTGTAGTTAAAAGAGGTTATTTAACATCAGCAATTTTTTTACACGATTGATTAGTATTTTGCATTCTACATATTTTCCTTAAAAAAAAAAAAAAAGTTTCAGGTTCTTGGTGTTTCAGTCATTAAGATGTGTTGTTCTGCTATGAAATGTAGTTAGTTCATTGAAGTTCAGTGGTGTTTACCATTCAGAAAGCTTCAGAATTTGTAAGCTAAACTACATACCTTAAAAATCCTGCTTCATACAACATTAGAAATTGAACACATCTTTCCTAATTCTTCATTCAAACTTGATGCAGCTGCTCTTGCTGGAGGGCAGCTATAGTCAGAAAGCTCAGAGTTAAGTATAGCTTTTTAATTCACCATTTTAATTAAAAATGGGCAAGAATTATTTGTAGTGTATTCTTTTACAAGCAGAAGGTGCCTGGAAGTGGTTCTGGCCATCCTGTGCTTTCATTCCGGAGACCCATCCCCTAGTCTACATTCATAGTTTGGAGGAGAAAAGTAGTGATTTCTTTCCAAATTCCTCATCAGTTAATTCAGAGTTGAGTAGCAGGTTACTGAGTTAAATAGTAGAAAATGGGTTTTTTGGGTGTTTTTACATCTGCTGAAAAATCTACATCTACGAAAAGCTGGGCTCTTCCTAAAACCAGAGGACTGAGGGAAGCTGTTGGCTAAGCAAACTTGTTTCAGGTACTTATTTGTCTATAAAACTTTGCAGCTATATCGACTTACAGTTGCTTTAATGATTTATGGTAATAATACTCTAGTAGAGGCTGCCATAGTTTCACACTGTAAAAAGCTTATGTAGAACTGAAAGAATACATCATCTTACTTTCTTCCCCCACCCGGCCTTAAGCATTAACTATAGTGGATAAAAAGCAGTAGTCAGTATGATTAGATATTAAAGTCCTAAATGCTATTACAGAAAGCTGGGTATTCTCTGCCTTCCCTCACTGTTGCAGAGTCTTAGGATAGCTTAGTAATGGAAATAGTTGGGTTGAGTTGTCCCATTGCAGCTAGGCGAGGACTGCACCTTTGCCAGCAGTGTCAGCAGGCACTAATGTTCAGGGTTGCTGCACTCTTCCTAAGGATACTTTACCTGCCTACAGTTTAAACACAGTTATTGCTTTGATGTTTGCTACTAAATGATAATTTTTTCTGTCATTAAGATAATCTTTAATTTTAACTCTGTGGAAAGCAGGTATATTATTGTTTATCTGAAAGACATACTAACTTTATAACTAACTTTAGACTTTCACCAGCGACTCTGGGAAGTAAGTGCTGTAAATACAGTGAAGACTTGAGTCAAAGTATTGTGTTAAACTGAGCAACTTTTTCCATGTGTCTAAGCAGTTTCCATGTGCAATTAAATTATTTTATTACGGGGCTCTTCTGCAGGGTTGCTGTTCATCTGCATGCTATTTACTTAATGTGTTTTAGAAAATTAATAATGAAAAAAGAAAGCAAGGAAGCCTTTCAGTAAAGGGATGGAGAGATCAGGAGAACTCTGCCTTATTCTGTGCTGTGTGGAAATGTAAATTCTGTGTCACGTCGTCATATGCTTCTCTAGTGTAAGATTTCTTTTGTAGGTAAATACCTGAAGAACATATATGTAGAGCTTTTAAGTCATTTGTATCCAGAAGCTTTTCGAAGGACAGCAAAAGCTGGTGGACTTGAAGTTAGCACTGTCTCGAGTGTAAATTCATCTTGATTTTTGCATTTGTTGCAGCTCCAATTTTCTTCTGGCTGGGCTTGCATCTGTCTTTCCCTCTACTAGTTGTTATTGCATTAGTCTTTCCTAATTTTAAGTGGCAGCAGATTCCTGTGTGGTGTCTTCCTTCATGAGTTGACCAGCTTTTGCAGTTTTTCCACATCCAGTCTGAATCAGAGCAAACTATTAATGGACCAATCTCATATCTGTTATGGAAAAAAAAGAAAACAGCTCATGAGATGACAGCATCAGCCTTGATTGTATTTGTAGACTGTCACTTTCTAATTGGCCGTGTATGATTTTTTCAGTGCAGATAGTACATACAAATCACGTTTTTCCCTCAATAGGAGGTGATATCTGCCTAGTAGGCTAGTGACTTGAGGATGACTTGCATCAAACTAACTCTAGTGCATAATTAACAGGTGTCAGGCTCCTTCTTTGCCTTAAAACTAAATGCAGCTTCTCCAGTTAAATTGGTACTGACTTTCCAGACTAGAGCTCACCCTTCCTCTAGGCAAACAACATCCTTTATTTCAAGTAGGTACATCTGCACAACACACCTTGAATTAACAAGTAATAGCTGTGAAATTCAGTTAAAAGATTAAAGGGGGGGGGGAGGGGGGAGGAAATAATTTCCTAGCCTGCTCATTTTTGGTTGCTAACACAGTACTTAACGCGGCTCATGTGTTCTCTCCCTGTCTGCAGGATTTTGAAGCCCAGAGCAGAAGAGTCAGGGGAATACTTGTGCGTGTTTGTGTTTTCAAACTCTCCTATAGCCAACGCCACTATAGAAGTGAGAGGTACTCTTTTGTTTTGTTTTGTTTCCTCTCCCTGAAAGTGAAGTACTTTCACTGCCTCAGCCATCTTGCTCAGTGTCCATACAAGAGAGCTAACTCAAGAGGCCTTTTGTTGTGATACAGAGCCTGTGTCCAACCCTTTGTTATAATTTCAAGGGAAACTCTTGCACGCAGTCATAGGGGGAAGATCTTATGGATATGAGAACATGACCATTGCATTTGTGGTCCACATAGGGGATACTAAAATACCTTCTAGCACAAACTTCTGCACCCCTTTGGTAAATCTGGCTATCACAAGAAAACGTCTGTCCAGCAGGATAAAGATTGCTGTAGAATATGTCTGTTCTCATGCAAGGACAGCTGTTGTTTCCTTCCTGTTTCACAGTAAATGAGGCCATCTGAATGTCTGTTCTGAATAGGAAAAAAGTATGAACCAGCATCTAGCGTGTGGCAGCTTGGAACTGTTTTTTTGTCTGCTGAGACTACTTCAGTTGCTGGGAAGGCCTGGATTCTGGTTAGGACAGATGCCCTGTACCAGATTGGGGATTTCTACTATGATGCACCTTTTTTTCTGTCTTGTGCGTGTTAGTAGTGTTCTGACATCTTTAGGACCCTAAAATTGTGGATGGAAACTGCAAAATGTGAAGGGTTTGCACCAAGCTTTACCGTAGTTTTGAACAAAATAATAGTGTTTCTGTTGGACATACAACGTAGAGGTAACATGGAGATGATGGTGTTTTATACAGTGTTAAACTGCTGCTACAGTACGGTTGTTTGTTCATTGACTAACTGTGGAAATTACTGGCCCACTGCTCTGCAGTAGCTGTGGTTTGCCCCTTAGTGCTGCAGCAAGATGGAATTGATGCATTCTGGCCGCTTTGTTAGTCAAAGGCAGATGAGTTTACGCAAAAATGTGTTAAAAAGTCTTGCAGCCAGTCTATGCACGTCTGGGATTATACTGATGCTTGTTTTATGAAGGTGTACTGTAAACTTGTTTGAAACCTAAGTTAGCATTACTTGCCATCTTCCTTGCACCCCTAGCTTAAATGTAGAGCTTCCTCTGCTGCTGTTTGAAAAAGCAAATGGGAAGGAGGATGCTTCACGCTCTTTCTTAGCATCCCTGCACCAGTGATGTGGCCTGTCCTGATACTGTGATCATTGCTGTTTAAATTAGGTGCCACAGATCTGTAGCAAGAGCTGAAAGCTGACCTCTTTCCTGGGAATTTCTGGTGCCTCACTGCATGGTCAGGTTCCTGAATCTGAAGTGAGGAAGTGGGAATAGTTCAGCAGTCTGTGTGAAATGACAAATGCACAGTATTATTCTGAATGTCATCTTTCCTCTCCAGAGAACAGCGTCTTTTGAACCATATAAACAGTTTCCTGGGGAAGAGAAATATTGCCATATAAATAAGCATTCTGACTTATTACATATTACAATATTTACATATTGTACCAAGAAAAGCTTGCTGATTTCCTGTGTTGATTTTAAAAGTTTTTTCTAATGATCTTGCATAAAACAGCCTATCAAAATATACCCAGTGTTTAACCAAATCTGGTGCAGAAGCTATCTCTGCAAGGAAAAAGGAAATGTAAAATATGTGCTCATGCGAATGCACCACAAGTTCCTGTTGGCCCAGCTAAGAGGTGTATGGCATGTGAACACATGAGAAATAGACTGTTATTGATTAAAAATCTGACGGCACCTCTAAAAATAATTATTGCCTTTCTTACAGCAAGTTGAATTCAAACTTATATTGTACTTCTGGTGAGCTTGTCTTCTGGGTGTTCAAGGTACATAGGTGTAGGGGTTTGTTTTTCTTCTTTTTGGGCTATTGTTTTGTATTCTGCTCTTATGCTCTAACTACTAAATCTTCTAATATTATCTTAATTAAGATCTTAAGTCCTTTCTGCCTTCTCTAGGCTGCCTTGGGTGACAAACCACTTCTAGAGACAGGAAATTTAACTTTGGTAATAGATTGAGTAAGATCTTTTTCGGCTTTGTATAATCTCTCAAAAGACCTTTTAGAAATATTTGGCTTCTCTGCTGTCTGGTGCCAGGCAGGGACACCAAGAGAACTTGGCAGAGAGGTTTACAGGGACATAGGATTTAACATTGTAGAAAGAAAAGCCAGTATATCTGATAGAAGTATTGGCACAAAGGTCAGAGGGAGAATAACCACTAATCCTACTAACAACTTTTCACAGGTAATTTATATATAAATACAAATAAGTAGTCATCAGTTAAAAGTTAATGACTCCAGCACCACACTTGGGAGGTATTACACCTGCAGCTTGCTCAGCAGTCGCAATTCCAGGACTCGGTAACCGTATTCTCCAGCTCCTCCTTACAGCATCACAAGAGTGGCTGATGGGCATCGAATTACTCCTTGGCAGAGAGAAGTACCAGGCGTTGTTTAGAGTGGGAAGTACCTTGACAAGTCTTCTGCAAAGCAAATTGGAAATTGGAATGCATGTATACTTTTAAACTGAAAAGACACTTTCCTAACTCCTGTTATTTGGAAACTTGCATAGTAATGAATTGGGACTGCATTTAAAGCACAAGTTAGAGAACTTTACAGCCTCCTTGCAGTCCTAGCACTGTACATAAATTCATTTCTGATCAGAGAGTACTTATTTGAGTTACTGCTCCTGGAAGAGCCATACAGCTAAACTTGTATGGTATCACATGTATTTTCTTGGATGTAAACGTCTCTGAATAATATCCATGCTAGTTGCAAATACACAGGCTTTTTTTTTTTTTTTTTAACTTTGCAAAGGAAGGCATTCTCTGATTCCTGTAGTTTGGTGTAAATATTCTGCACGTTCTGCCAAAACAGCTCTAGTTCTCAAAGCAAACAGATTTTTGATACTACTTCGTGTGGAGATGTTACCTAGTTGTTAATCAAGGCATATGTGATGTATGAGTGATGCATGAATCTTGTTTGACCATGCAGATGCCGTAATTTAATGCTTACCTGCACATGTGGCCTGTCACAGTATTTGTGGTTAAGCAATTGTACACAAATTTAATTGCTAATTGTAATTATATTGCAATTTTTAACTGCTGATGCACGTAGAAAAGATGGTTCTGAACACAAAAGTGCTTGTGGATCAAAATAGTGACTTCCTGACAACTTGTTCACAACTTCAACAAATGCCTTGCAGCAGATGTAATCCAGGATATACCAGTGCCATGTGCCTTTTACGTAATGTTGCCTATTTTCTTCCTGAATCTCTACATGCGATATGTAGGAAGATAAAAATGCAGAAACATGAGCATTGGTGTTAGAATTGTTAGGTGTGCTTGCATATTTAAAGCAGATTTTCTCGGTAAAAAAATTACTAGGGCAGTACTAGTATAACAGCAGTTGAAAATACTGGGGTTTAATGTCAGTCTCTCGGAATTCGCTGGAATGGCACTAAGTCTGGTTTCCCTCATAGAGTCAGCTTTTGCATGAAGTGTCTGTTGGAGACTTTGAGTATTCTTGCTCAAGTTCTCAGAGCTGTTAGGGGCATTGTGTGAGTGCAGCTCTAAGCCTGAAACAATAGGCTGAGCAAATGCTGGTATTAGGAAGATTCTGCCTTGAAATAGGGATCTTCTCCCACGCTTTGGTTTTGCAGTGAAGCCAGCTGGCTGAGAGCCTTGCAGGTAGCCAGGCCGTGAT